TTTTTGCAACTTAGCAATCGCAAATGAGAAAATTGCATCTAAGCTTAATTGCCTTAAATTCAACAAAAAGTTTGAAAATGAAAAATATTGTAATTTGCAACTATTGTCTGATTTCTACAGTTTGCGAATGCAACTGAATTCAATTCAACTGAAATATTTCAAGCTTTAATAGCATAGCGCATGATTAAATGGAAACAGGAGGAAAAGATCAAATTTGTGCGACATTGCTGGCACAACTTTGGCACAACATTTGCAAGGGGGCGTACCTGGATGAGGGGAGTAAGGCCAATCACAACAATTTCTCGTCCTAGCCACATTCTCCTCATTTTCTCGTCCTAGCCACATTCTCCTCATTTTCTCATCCTAGCCACATTCTCCTCATTTTCTCATCCTAGCCACATTCTCCTCATTTTCTCATCCTAGCCACATTCTCCTCATTTTCTCATCCTAGCCACATTCTCCTCATTTTCTCATCCTAGCCACATTCTCCTCAATTTCTCGTCCTAGCCACATTCTCCTCATTTTCTCGTCCTAGTCACATTCTCCTCATTTTCTCGTCCACCTCAAAATCCTTCCAATATTTTTTTTAATGTTTAAACCTCCCGGATAAAATTGTTTTTTAAGAATCGGACCACGTTAGGAACTTAGGGCATAAATAAAATATTGAATTTTTGAAAATCGAAAAAAATGTTTCGATTGAATTTGTTTTCCAAGTTTAATGTTCATTTAAATGTTCACCTTTTTACGCACATTTTTAGGTATTTCTGGTGTATAGAATGCAGCAAATAATTGTGAGTTTAAAGAACTTCAATTTCTTTTGTTAATTACAGTGAAAACCATAGGATTTTTCCGGATGGTTCCATTGGGAAAATTTGCTATCAATTTTATATTGCAAGCAATTAGCCTTTACTGAGGCAGAAGAGATTTAAGTTTTACTTAATTAAAGTTTTACATCATTCTCACGGGTTTGAAGATTCCAACTTCATGTAATCCTAGGAATACTTTAGTCTATCCATATTTTATGCCCTAAAACGTGGCCAGATTAAAAAAAAACAGTTTTATCTTCAAGAATTGGAAACTGTAAAACACAAAATAATCGAAGGACAAGGATTCCGAGGTGGCTTGGACGAGAAAATTAGGAGAATGTGGCTTGGACGAGAAATTGTTGTGACTGGCCATCCTCCCCTCCTGGGATAACTTTACAGTGCTAGAACCAATCTTTCTCCCATCACAACCACAGTTTCAGTAAACAGAGGCGCAACTAGGGGGGGGGGCGGCCGTGCCTCTGTCAGTAAAAGTAAATATTTCCATTTACTAATGTCGTCGATTGAAGGATTCATAACTCTGATTGGATAATGAGATATATAGAATGATAGATTTTACCGCCATACTATTTCTATTGGAATAGAGAATAGACAACAAACACATGACTGAACCCTGATTGGATGAGGTGCTAATGGACTCGGAATACAGGAGTGCCCTGGATACCGTTACATTGCTAAAACCAACAATTACAAGTGATTGATTGATTGATGATTGATTGATTGATTGATGATTGATTGATTGATTGATGATAAAAAGAGAAAGATTTAGACAAACATTTTAAGGTTAAAGTTGTGAATCGGACCTGCCACTCCTTGAATGGAGAATCCCAAGAAATTGTGGCTAAAATCCATTTCTCTGAGTTTAATTGTTATATATGGTTATGTTTAGATATATTGCATTTATAAGTGACATGTAAGCGTAATTTCAAAAGACCTTCAAGCAAAGATGGCAAATTCAGGACGATACCCTTGAAACATTTGTATGAATTAGATATGTTTATACCTTTATAAACAATAATTATTGTTAATTGTGGTTTCTTTACAAAAGTGACTTGCACATTTTACTACAGGGAAAACTTTATTAGTATATAAATAAGGAATAAACAGAAATATGCATTCTAAACCTAGGAAAACGACAATATCTTTACGTCATTAATCAGTGGCCGAATTTAAAGAATTTGAGGGCGGTTTAAATTTAAGCCACGGCTTAAATATGGTTGGTTCCACTTATAATTGTTTCAAGATTTAAGCCTACGCTCAATTTAAACTGGGTTTTGGCGGATTTAAACCGCGGCTCAAATTCTTTAAATTCCATCTCTGATAAGGTTTCAAGGGAACCGTTGTGAATCGGGCATTGTTATCTTTGAAATCCATGCTATATGAACCATCATATTTTCTATCCGATGTTTGAAATTTGAAATTAAAAAAAAAAATTTAGGATGACAATTTCTTCCTTTTCTTTATAACAAAGCCTGGTGCAGAGTGATCCAACCCGGCAATTGAAGAATGACTCATTTTTGTCTATACTCAGCAGCATGTATTTCCCCCTTGATTGATTAAACTGTTATAAATCAAGAGAGAGAGAGAGCTAGAAAGATCCATATATATAATAGATTATAAGTGTTTAACAAATAGAAATAAAAATTTCTCTACACTTAATTTTATTCTTTAGTGGTAATTGCAAAGGTTTAAAAAATATATATGGGAATCTTTTATTCCTAATTAATTTTAATGTCCCAATTTCCATTTTAATCGATTCTATGTTGCAAAAAATTTCAAAATTGCACAAATTCCAACATAATTTCTTTAAAATTTGATTCTTTAAATGTTCTATAAAGCTTATGCACTTCTTAAAGGCAAAATTTTAATCACAAAATTTAATTGGATGGGTTTGCGCTCTTGTGTTTTCCTACTAAATATTGAAAACTTGATTTGATACAATTCTGTCCCTGATATGGAAAATTAAAACAAACTGTATCAAGCTAGATACAGTGATAACCAGAAAACTGTGGGATGAATGTCGTTTTCATTCTCTTATATTTAACAACTGTCATGAATGTCTTCTTCTTCATTCTCTTCTATTTAACAACTGTAATTTATGTCGTCTTCATTCTCTTCTATTTAACTACTGTCATGAATGTCGTCTTCATTCTCTTCTATTTAACAAATGCCATCAGGGAATTGCTGTTAACGGATAAATAGATCTGTAAATGTCCAGAAGTCGAAACTATTGTGCTGCGAATGATCTACCAAATTAATCTCCATCTTATAATACAGAGCTATGTACTTCTTATTCCTCTGCAAAGACCCGTGATGGATATATAACCTGCAGGGCAACTTTAATAAAAATGCTAACAGGAAAAAAACATCAAATACCAAAAAAATCTATTATTGAATTTTTAAGCAGTAAAAAAAACGAAAGTCAACATTATTTCAAATCACATCCGTTAAGTTTTTTTTACCTACCGTTAATTTTTTTCAAAAAAAGGCCATTTCCTTTAGTTAATGATTTTGAAATTAACGGTTTTCACTCTTCGCCAACTGTTAACAGTTTGTTAAAACTGTGGATTTTTTATATAGCCATTTCTTTTTTTGTTGAAATTCAACAAACAAGAGAGGGAAAAAACATCAAATATAAATTGAAGTTGATGTATTCTGAATCTGCTTGTTTCATAATCTTATTGATTTTGTTAAACTCTATCTAATATTTGTAAATACCAATTATAATATAGCCAAACAAATCTGTTTTTTAATGATAAAAAATATTCTTTTTATATATTTTTTGATCTGGCGTTGAAGAATTTGTAACAAATAAATAGGATTCTCATTGTAAAAGTAATTTTAATTAACCTATAAAAGAGGGTCATAATATAACATTGGTCCATTGGTCCATTGGTCCATTGGTCCATTGGTACAATTGTCCAGCAATAAACTATATTAAATAAACAATATAAAGTGTTCTGAACTTATTTTAAAAACATATGTATATAGTGGCGTACATAAGGGGGGGGGTCAGTAGTCCTCTTGCCCCCCCTGGGAGTTCCAGGGGGGGCCTGCCCCCCCCTGGAAAATACAAAATTAAAAGGAACAAATCTTAAAAGCACAAAATTTTAAGATACTTTAAACTAAAACTTTTGCAAAAACGAGACCTCGACATATTAGATGCTTATAACATGATGGAAGATGTAATAAAGGTATATATTTTCTATTTTTCTATTTTTTCTTACAGTCAATTAATAAAAGAATTGAGTCTTTGGCACAAACTCAAATATTTAAACCTTTGGAACCTGATGTTGTAAACCTTTGATATTTCAAATTCAGAAAATTTGTTCTAACAGAATTCATAGTTTGAAATATCTAAGGTCTACAACATTTGGTTCCAAAGAAATAGTGCTTAGAAAATCAGAGTTTTTGGCACAGACTCAATTCCTTTATATCCATAAAGAGATATTAAGCGTAAATTCAAGTTCCCCTTCATGCAATGATGACAATAACACCGAATGAAGGAAAGAGAAGTTTTAGCCTTCTAAAGAGAATATACTTCATTACACAAGATGTATTATGACAGAGAGCAGACTTAACGATCTTGCACTTGATTTTATATTGCTGCTGTGATTATTGATTTAGTTAGCTGTGATGGAGTTAAGTAATAAAGGAACTGAGTTTTTGCCACAAACTCAAATATTCTTATCCCTTTAGCTTGGCAACCCAATGTCGTAGACCTTAGATATTTCAAACTATTAATTCTGTTAGATCAAATAATCTAAGTTTGAAATATCAAAGGTTTATACCCACTGGTTGCAGAGATATAGAAATGAGAAAATCCCAATATTATATCTCAACAACCAGATCATGCATACCTTTCATATTTCAAACTTACATTGTTTGATCCACCAGAGTTCATAGTTTGAAATATCTACGGTCTACGACATTTGGTTTTAAAGAAATTCGGTTTTAAAAATCCGAGTTTGTGGCAAAGACTCAATTCCTTTATAAAGTTAAAAAGTTAAAGTTAGTTTTTCGAGCAAAGGAATAAATTTTAGACTCTATAAGGTTAGTAACACCCAAAAATGTAGTCTTTTTGGTGTATTTTTATGGTGTTAGTTGACTTTTTGAACAAAACAATTCCAGGGGGGGGGGGGCAAAAAATTTTAATTAAAAATTGATAAAAAAAAGTTGCGATGAAATTATTTATTATCTTATGTTTGTCTGACAATTTTACGTTATACAAGGTTAAATGAAATATCAAAAACTTAAACCTAAATATCCATTCCGTCTCACTATTAAACGTTGTCCCTATTTTAATCAGTCTCAATACTAATAAACCAAGAATATTGTCTTCATTTAAAAAAAAATCAATTTCGTTTTTTAAAAGACCACATTTGATAAGGTTCTGATGATGTGTAAGTCGACAAAACCAAACTTAAACAGAGAACAATGATTAACGTGACGCCAAACTGGTTTAAGGAGAGCATGTGGCTCCCGCCATCTTGCCTTTGATCCAATCCAGCTGATTTGAAACTCGTGCATAAACTCCGGGAAATCCAGGCTAAACATGAACAAACTTATCTAAAGGCCATGTCTTTTGCGTTCTGCTCTTAAAAAATATTCATGTTTCTATTCTCTTTTCATGAAACATTTAGAAATTCCACAAAAATCTAGAAACTTCTAAGATTATCAATTTTTTTAAATCCTAAACTTTTTACTTGAGCAATATGTAAAAATATATATGTTTGAAAAAGCTATGAAAAATAAAGATTGAAACATGTTTGAGAATTAATTTGTCAACAACGATTTACTATTTTATTTTAAATAACTAGTTAGAACCATTTTAGTCAAAGTTAAATTTAAGTAAGTTCTAAATTTTTCGAATATGAGCTTACTTTTAAAATTTGGACCCTGAGCTCAGCTAAAATTTCAATTCATACGATCACTCGAATTGCCTTTTCAATTCAATTTCAAAATCAGCTTATTTAGGATTTATGATTTATGTCCTCCTTGATGCCAATTCTAAATATTTACCTGAGCGCATCCAAATCCCCATGATACAATTCCTAAACAAAAAGTTTGTATAACGAAGATATTTTTGATTATTTATCAAAACGGGCCTTTAGCATGCCTTTACCTATCAAAGTATATGCAGCATTACTCTCTTTCCTAATCAGTGGGCCTAAAAATAAGTTAAAAAATGAAAATTCTTGGTTTATATGTATCTTTCAATCTTTCAGAATTTCATTTGAAATAATAATAATGGGATTGGAACATGGGAACAGTTTATGTATTAAAGTAAAAAGATTTGTTGCCTTTAGGTTGTATAAACAGTCATCTCATAATAAAAATATTCATGCATATGTTGAAATTATCTAAGTGAATGAAAGGGGAAAAGGAATAATTTAGGTAATTTTCTATTATGTTTAATCCCCCCTTCATAACAAAATAGTTAAAGTATACCACTAATTGTTTTTTTAAAAGTTAAAAAGCAAGTTACACAGAGATACAGACTATAGTATGCAAACCAGACCAGTCCACCAAATTACCATGCAAGAGTTTTGCAAACCCTGATCGGCACTGGTTTATAAAGCACGACCACATTTAGTCTATGCTACGCGTGTTTTTGTAATAAGATGCTAAAATAACCGTTCTACCATTATTTGAGCTATTGATGTAGACAATTGTTTATGTTTCCAACATGTTTGGTTCCAAATGTAATAGTTTGAATAAAGATTATATCACAGGGGGCTACTAAAAGTAGAATCGAAATTATTTTGATTACTTTTTTTTGCATAGAATTATGAATTATATTAAAATCATAAAATGCAAATAATGCAAATAAAACTTACCCAAAAAATGCCATTATGAACAATAGGGAAAACCTCAATAGTTTTGTATTTATCCCTACCTCCAGAATCTCCTTGACAGGAATCTTTTCCAGTAGCAGCAGCACAGATCATATTATTAGTAATCGAAGTGGTTCCATAACTAGTTTTACACTGGCTGTTGCTCATAGTTGTCACCTACATAGTAAAGTAGGGTTTTCCAACGCTCAAATCTATGCTCAAATTCACAGCAAACATTCATATTTTCATATCAATTGTCCTCTATCTATATATCATATCAAATTATTATAATGTTAATACTCAATTATCTACATGGTTTAAAATCACCTTCTTTTTAAAACAATTAAATAAAAAAAACTGAAATTATTAATATTTGTCATTTTTAAGATAGTAAGACTTACAATGCTAGATGGAAACTATAAGCAGAGATTTCCATATACACAGTAAAAAGTTTTTTTGAATTTTGTTGCAGTGTTTGCGCAAATGACTCCAAAATGACCAATTGTTTGCGCTTGCTTCCACAAAACAAACTTTTGTGCAATAATGTGAAATTCTGCACAAAAGTTTGCATGATGCAAAAGTAAATTTGCGTGGAATTGCACAACTTTGCGCCTTAGTTTGCTTTCACTGGAAACCCTATGGTAAAGTCAAGTATCATTCAAGTTCAACTTAGATACAGTAAAATTAACTACAGATAAATCTCTTTGGACACTGCACTGTTGGCAACCTCTCTCGACTTCAAAAGATTAAGTTTCAAACATTTAAGGTTTAAAGACATTTAAATGAATTCAAAAGTATCCTAAAAATACAATATGATTAGATATGTTCCATCCCATCTAAAAGGACTTAGGTATCATTGCGTATAAAAGGATTTACATACCATTGCATATAAAAGGACTTACCATTACCATTACATATAAAAGAATTTACAAACCGTTGCATATAAAAGGATTTACATACCACTGCATATAAAAGAATTTACATACCATTGCATATAAAAGGATTTACCATTACCATTACATATAAAAGGATTTACATACCATTGCATATAAAAGGATTTACATACCATTGCATATAAAAGGATTTACCATTACCATTACATATAAAAGGATTTACATACCATTGCATATAAAAGGATTTACCATTACCATTACATATAAAAGGATTTACATACCATTGCATATAAAAGGATTTACATATTATTGTATAAAAAAGTATTTACATACTAGGGGTTCCACGAAATGGCTAAATACTCTAAGCTTAGAATTAAACAACTGAAGATTTATTCCATACATAAAAAAAATATTAACATACAAGTATGATAACGATTATACTATACTCAATTGGTTACTTCCAGTTACAAAAAGTTTAAATTAATAAAATAGAAATTAGAGAGTGGTGAAACTTGGCAATATTTTAATCCTATTAAATAATTTCAAGTGACCCTTAAAAGCTTTGCCTTATCAAGTATGAATTATATTCTTATTTTTAATCAAATTTCTAAAATCTTTTTAATCTCATATAAAATAATGCAAGAAAGAAACCAATGCCTGAAGAATCCACTTTTAGGAAATATGCATGTCCAAAACTAAAATTGTCGAGACTTTTACTGGACAATCTGTTTCGGATTTTGGTACAATAGACACACCGTCACCAACCGTTTGATTTTTACGAAATTGCGGAATTGCGCAAAACTGTAGTTGCAGAATTGCGCAAAACTTGAGGTTCGCAAAAGCGGAATAGGGCAATTTTGGGCAAAATGACTTTTGCAAATGATTGCGTAAATTGTTGTTTTTTCACGCAAAACTGATGCGCAAAGAAAGAAAAATTTTGCGTTTTGTTTCGTAAAAATTGCGCATAAGTTTTGCGAATGGAAACCCTACCATTGCATATAAAAGGATTTACCATTACCATTACATATAAAACAACTTACGAACCGTCGCATCTAAAAGTGTTGATGATTGACTTCCCCCAGAACTCGTGGTACCCCAACCAGAAACAATAGCATCAACATTTTCATACTGAGTCCCTTAAAATCAAATAAATATACAAATCATACAAATTATTTGTGACTTTTATTGAATAATCATTTAAAGTTTGTTACTATGAGTGTAAAAAGAAACTAAAACGATTTTAAGCCTACACATTTTGGAGCCTGAACTAACCCTTTCTAAATGTCATTACAGTTTTGTGTCGCCCTGAGCCTGCAGATTTACTTGCGACATAATTAAACTCAAAGACTATTGCTATTTATTAAGGATCTGGTTCCTGGAATTTATAATTTAAAGCTGTAAACATTTGATGCTATTTCTTTAGTTTAAAAAGTATTTGGACTGATTGACTTTGTAATAGATGTGAATTATTTAGGTCTAGTTTGTACAATGTGATTACTGATTATACACATACCTAGACCTTTAGCAGTTGGTAGACAAACAGGGGATATCTCCTGAAAAATAATTATTAAAAACGGGTATCAAAATCAAGGTACTAATGCAAGGAAAGTTATGTCAGAGGTTTACGCAGTTTTTGTGCTGCAGTATACTGTCTTTGGGCGGAAAGGTAAAACCTAGGCGGATGTCACAGCCTGACATGGAATCAATTTATACAAAAATTATCTATGAAATATTCTGATCATAGGAAACTATTATGTGAATTTTCATCGGATACTAGACGAACACTGATGCATCTATTCTTGTTTATAAATTCCGCCCAGAGAGAACTGGTTACAATATGTACACAGTCGAGTATACGCGACCGCAATTAACTTTCCTTGCATTAGTACCTTGAACAAAATATATTTTACCATGGTAAGGACTTCCGAAGAAAGTCTTAAATGTTTTTATGCATGCATTTCAATCTGAATTCGGTAACAGATGATGAGCATTAGGAGGTGGTTCCTGACGCGTACACGCCACACAGGGATTGTAACTCGGGAAAAAGATATAAATATAAATATAGATTTATACACAATGATAATGTTTAAAATAACAATCCCTATCCGCATGCCATGGAATATAAAATGGGCACCGAATGAAAAACCCCTGTCATTTGCTCAAAATATTTTGCTAACCGATTTAGTTTTTCGAAATATGAACTTACAGCTCTAAATTATCAAGTGTACATTCAGGATGCATGCAATCCAAATTGTTAAAAAGAGTTCTAAAACAAGTCTCCAGTAATGTTTTAAAGGGACTGTAAGATAAACTTAAAGTGACCCTTTATTCAAAGATGACAATACCCGACTTACATTGGTACCATTGAAATCTTTATCTGATCAATGGTATGGAAGATATCGTCGCGCGTTTTGTTCTGTAGTTAAAAGTGTTTATTATTTCCTGTAAACATGAAATGCACAGAACACTAAAAAGAGAATTTGCAAAAGAAAATAAACAGTTTAAATAAACGAAACATGGATATCTAATTCATACTTTACCAGACAAAGCTTTCAAGGGAACCATCGTAAATCAGGGGCATGACATGTTTACATGGAGGGTCACTTAAACTCTAAGATATGCACCAACCTTTGTAAAAGTGACTGGTGAATCACAGAGTTTCAGAATAGCATAATCAAAATCATTGTTTCCATTATAGCTGGGATGTTTGGTGCTACTACATACTTTTACAATCTTCTGCCCATCGTTAGGATCATTAATGTCATGTTCACCTAACTATATACAAATGTTTTAAATAACCTTAGCAGCGATATTTACTTTAAACAAAATGAAAAAGATTAATTTTTATCTAAAAAATGAAAATATTTCTACTAGAAATCTATTTGGATGGTTTTACTATAAGTAGTTCTGAATGGGGAACTTTTGTGTTTATAATCCTGATGGCTTGATCTTGATATCGACTGTGGACCCTTTTTTAATTTGAGAATCAATGCATCTCTTCATTTCAGCTATTCTACCAGTGAACGAAGCTGACTTCAACCCCGGGTTAAAGCTTCCTTCAATCCCTGACTGGATACGATTCCCATACGGTATGTAATATAAAGGTTAATTTAATCTGCAGAATAACAAAAGATCAAGATCAAGCATCGATCTCTATATCCAAAATACAAGAGTTCCGACATTTATTATTAGTATTTACTGCCATCGTTCATTTGCATTAAAAAGGACAATTTTTGTATTTTGTTTTTTGTACAGGGTTATCCACAAAGGATGAGAGTAAGACTGTAAAGACGACCTCAGCTCATAAAATATGACGTTTACAAGGTTTGATTAAGACGTTTGCCTTGAATATTATCTTTTAATTGCCTATTTATTGACATGGCAACGAGAGAAATCAGTTTAAACTTGTAGAGAATCCTAAGTAGAATGAAATAGACATAAATTATGTGAAGCTATCTCTGAAGTCTCATCCTTTGTGGGTAACCCTGTATTTACCGCAACATATATGGTTGATCCAATTATACAGTGGGCAGCAGTCAGCACCTCCTGAAACAAAGTTTCAGTATAACTTTTAGTGCAATTTAATCAAAGCTAAAGCTAGGCTTCTTTCAGAAACTTTGTTTCTTTGTTGGTGGATTTTCAAAAAATATCTCTGCTGGGGTACTTGAAAACCAGGATATGAAAAGTCAGAAAATTTCAACAGCCTCAGATCAATACTTTTTGAGTTATGTAAAAAAAACTACAGGGGGGGGGTCAAATTGACCCCCCCCCCAGCAGGAATAGGGTTAATGTCCATCTTTTTTATAGTCAAAAACTTTTCAAGTTTGGCATTGGATACATTACAAACTAGAGTTTCCAACGCAAGTGGATTTTAATTTCGCGCATTAGCGAGTCCTTGCACATGGCCTTGACAATGACATCCTGCTGGCACTGTTTAGGTTTGATTAAGAGAGAATAGGTTTTAACTGTATGAGTAAACTAGTGTAACCAGTATGAACTCAATAGCTTGGAATAAGGATAGGTCCATTGATGTAACCCCTTCAGTTCTACATACGGCCAGAGCTAAGCTCAGATTCGATAGTTTTATTGATGCAACCCCTTCAGTCCTCACATGGAACCGGAGCTAAGCTCACACTGCAAGTAGTCCAGCCTACAAGCATGGCAGCTTAATAGCTCTTTGTTTAGAGCTAAAGGTCGGACAGAAAATAGGATGGATAATTAGTCCCCTTGTGTACATTGTATTAAAATATTTTTGTCTGTTAAAAGATGCCATCCTAGAAAACATGATTCCAATGCCTTTTTCAATGCATGGAAAAGCAAGCCTGAGTTCTATTTAGGTGTGAACCACAGCTTGAATCATGAAGGCACGGAAAATTAGGTCGGCCAGGCTAAGGCCAGAATATGAAGCAGTAATCACGAAGGATCCAAAGGAAGAAGATTAACTTGTCGTATGAAACTAATGAAAGGTGGAGAGTCCACCAGAGAGCTCCAGCTTTCTACTACTTATTAGAATCAACCATTATTTGTCCTTTTTTATAATGTAAATATATTTTTTTATACTCTGTTGATTTACTCACACTAGTTTCAGGCTTTATAAACTTCCTTTATTTTCAAGATCAATTTTGGATGCTGTTTTAAATTGTGTATGGGTATACCTGATTGCTAATCAAGCTTCCTCCACAAAAAGGTGTATTTGTTGATGATGGCTGTTGATTTCTCAGTAAAGCAACCTGTCAACATAAAAATAAGGAAAAATAATGAAAGCTGTGCTCTTCCAATGGCTCAGTGATATTTTGCCCAATTCATTTCGGTCAAAACTAGGGTTTCCAGTCGAAATTTTTTGCACGAAAATTGCTAAAAGATTTGCTTACGTTTCGAGTAAAAATTGCACAAAATTTTGATGTTTTTGCGCATTGATGTGCAAAAGCTATTTTGCGAAAATTCTGAAGAAAATCTTGGTATTTGCGTAGTAACTGAGTTAGTCAATTATCATCAGTCCGGTCTGAACTTGGAGATGAGCAAGGTCAGCAGGGTTAGATGGAAATTGTTTTTTACTGAAACTAATTCACACCATACTGTCCAAATATTGAAATCTTTCATACTCATACACTTTGGCGCATGTTAACAAATATTTCTTAATTTCGTTTTCATGCACAATACTGCGGTACAAAAATTTTTATTTTTTGTATTCATGGGCATTGCAAAAATGACCTGTATTCATTTGCAATATCATGAAATATATTTACTTAAATTTTGTATTAATGGAAAATTTCGTGCAAAAAAAAAAAATATTTCAAATGAATGCGCAATTTTGTGCAAAACTGCTGATGAATAATTTAGACTGTCGTCTTCCAAATACTGGATTAGATTTAAAGACTTTTTGCAGTTTAATTCGGTAGAAAAATCTTTTACTTCAATATATCTTAATCTGGAATCGATTTTACTGTAATAAAACTGCAATATAATGTTTATTATTATTTTCTTTGGTATCAAAGAACTTCATGGTACACCCTGTACTAAACAGGGTCGTTATACAAGTAAGCTAGATCAGTTCCCTTGTACTTGATAACACAATAATAGTACCAAGGTGACCTACCTGCCAAGGATACTCATTTACCTCGATAGCACAATAATAGTACAGAGTTGACCTACCTGCCAAGGATACACATTTACCTCGATAGCACAATAATAGTACAGAGGTGACCTACCTGCCAAGGATACACATTTACCTCGATAGTACAATAATAGTACAGAGGTGACCTACCTGCCAAGGATACTCATTTACCTCGATAGCACAATAATAGTACAGAGGTGACCTACCTGCCAAGGATACTCATTTACCTCGATAGCACAATAATAGTACAGAGGTGACCTACCTGCCAAGGATACACATTTACCTCGATAGCACAATAATAGTACAGAGGTGACCTACCTGCCAAGGATACTCATTTTTCTCTGTTTCCTGTCCTCCTACAATCTTAGTTTTAACATTAGCCTGTCCACACTGTAAAAAGATCAGGAATGGTTTGTCTTTTAACCCAACAAATAATTATCAGAAAAATAAAAAACCGTGGATACCCAAATTTTAAGAAAATTGATAGATAAAATTGTTTTGTGATTCTGTTTGATTTAAAAACTATACTCCCACGAAACATGACACTTAAGAGACGGGATAAATATTAGATTTCGTCTTTAATGCGATTTGCAGCATTCATTCATTCACCTAAGAATTTTAAAACAATGATAAAATGGATCACACCTTAAAACCTGTACTCCAGGGTACCTTGCCTCTCTGCAGTCTTTTCAGGAGTATAAAGTACAAAAAATGCAGTTGTCACATTTTGGAAATGCCAGGACTACAAGCACCAGAAGGAAATATTTTAGCTTTAACTGTTTAGAAATACATTTGTACTGTGTGGTTTCACGAGGGCTATTATTATGATTACAGCGTCAGAATAAAACGATACCGGCTGTTGTGAATTTGTTATGGCAAGCATCAGGAAAAACAAGTTTAAAAACATAAGTCAAAAAATATTTGTAATTCTGTTTTACTAAAATATTAAATTTGATCTTTCAATCAGTTATCATTCTTTTTGATTCCTTGCACTGCGGAACAGGTGTCGTTGTTGTTGGAGTTGTTGTAGTTGTTGTTGTTGTTGTTGTTGTTGTAGTTGGTGGTGGCCGAAACTAAAAGTAAAATATTTCAAAGACGTATTGGATGGAATAAATATCTGATCTAAGATTTTGGAAAAAAAAAGATTAAACCCCAGATTTGCACCAGTCCGAGCGAAAACTCCAGCTTCAGGTCTCGAGTTAGACCCAAGTTTAGAACCGGGTGTAACTAAAGCTCGAGAGTAAGGAAGTTTGGGCTTTAAAGTTCCTTTTATAATTAATTCTGAGCTCTGACATTTTTCGAATTCAAATAATGTATTATGTAGGTAGGCTACATTTTGAAGAAAATAAACCGACTTTTTTGGCATTAATTGTTTTTTATTGTAGCACAAAGATATCAGTAAATTTTTAAGAATCTTGAAATTTCATTTCGTTGTAGCTAAGATCTATGGTCGTTACATACCATTTCTTGCCTGTTTTTACCTATACTATTGTATTGTATTGAAGTTTGAAATTTTTTATTTCTAATTTTTCAATAAACTTTTTTTCTTAAAAATAAACTGAGTTTTTGCAACAAACTCTGATTCTCTAACCGTTATATAAAAAAATCAATGTATAAAATATCAAAGATTTACATTATCAGAAAGTTATAGTTTGTGGCAAAAACTCAATTTCTTTGGTACCTGATTACACCCGATACTAAGACCTATCAAACTCAACTGAAAGTTTGTAAATATTATTTTTTTAAATTCTTATCATAATTCTAAATAATTCTAAAATAATAATTCTAAATAATTCTAAAATAATAATTCTAAATAATTCTAAAATAATAATTCTAAAAAAGAATTATTAAAACTTACCCCAATAAGTCCGAATCCCTGCATGGTGACACTGTAACTAAAATAGAAAAATATTATTTTTGAAGAAAATTAATCATTTTAGTCAAGTGTGAGATTTCACGCTAACGCTATGAATTAATGTGTCACACTCAAATATTACTTTTTAAAGGACAATATGGAGTCGACTTATTTCATAGAATATTTCAAGACAGAGGACCTTGTCTGATTCACTACAGTACCAGCTTGAACCTTCGCATCAGCATAAAGAATAACGATATCCGTGCTTATCTCACTTAAAATGAATTATTTCCACTTGTGGATTCTCTTTACAAGTGACTTGCGGATTTGCATTGCAACAAAATCAAAGAAAGAAATTGTCAGATTGATTGATTGATACACTTTTCAAATAAAAAACTACGATATTCTCATTGAGGCCCTGATTCGACTCTTTAAACTCAGGTTTGCGGCAGATTTGAAGAATTGTTTACGATTATAAAATTATGTAGACTGTCTCTTTAAGAATTTTAAAATTTACAAAATTTTGCGAAAGAACTTGTCAAATTCTACCAGGGACATAGCCATGTGTCAACTAGCACACGATAGTTAAGTTGTCGGAAAATATATAGAAAAATTTCATTGAAAGACATTTGATAGACATAACATTTTATAGATAGGATATTTCATAAAAAAAAAACATTTCAAAGACAAAACATTTTATAGACAGGATATTTTATAGAAAAAAAAATTCATTGATAGGACATTTCATAAAAAAGGACATTTCATAGTTAGGATATTTTAAAGACAGCACATTTAATAGAAAGGACATGCCATAGGCGGAAAATTTCATGAGCAGGACATTTCATAGACCGGACATGTCATGGACAGAACATTTCATTGACAGGACATTTCATAGACGGGATATTTCATGAAAAGGACGTGTCATAGACGGGACATTTCATAGACCGGAAATTTCATAGACAGGACATTTCATAGACATGACATTTCATAGACAGGACTATTTCACAGTTTAGACATTTCGTAGATAGGAAATTTAATAGATAGGACATCTCATAGATAGGGCATTTTATAGATATGACATTTCATAGATAAGACATTTCATAGATAAGACATTTCATAGATAGGACATTTCATAGATAGGACATTTCATAGATAGGACATTTCTTAGATAGGACATTTCATAGATAGGACATTTCATAGATAGGACACTTCATAGAATGGAATTTTCATAGATAGGACACTTCATAGAAAGGACATTTCTTAGATAGGACATTTCATAGATAGGACATTTCATAGACAGGACATTTCATAGATAGGACATTTCATGAATATGACATTTTATAGATAAGACATTTCATAGATAGGACATTTCATGGATAGAACACTTCATAGACAGGACATTTCATAGATAGGACATTTCATGGACGAGACATTTCATAGATAGGACATTTCATAGATAGGAAACTTCATAGATAGGACATTTCATAGATAGGACATTTCATAGACAGGACATTTCATGGATAGGAAATTTCATAGATAGGACATTTCATGGATAGGACATTTCATAGACAGGACATTTAATAGAAAGGACATGCCATAGACGGAAAATTTTATGGGCAGGACATTTCATAGACCAGACATTTCATGGACAGAACATTTCATTGAGAGGACATTTCATAGACATGACATTTCATAGACATGACATTTCATAGACAGGACAACTTATAGATATGACTGTAAATAGGACGTTTCATAGACAGGATTTCATGGATAAGACATATCATAGAAACGATATTTCAACTTAAGGACATTTTAAAGACAGAACATTTCATAGACAGGATATTTCCTTGAAAGGACATTTCATAGATAGGACAATTTATGACATATTTCATAGACAGGACATTTTACGGACAGGAAATTTCATAGAAAGGACAATAGATAGAAAATTTCACAGTTTAGACATTTCGTAGATAGGAAATTTAATAGATAGGACATTTCATAGATAAGGTATTTCATAGATATGACATTTCATAGATAGGTCATTTCATAGATAGGACATTTCATAGATAGGACATTTCATGGATAGTACATTTCATAGATAGGACATTTCATGGACGAGACATCTCATAGATAGGACATTTCATGGAAAGGACATTTCATAGACAGGACATTTCATAGATAGGATATTTCATGGATAGGACATTTCATAGATAGGACATTTTATAGATAGGACATTTCACAGATAGGACATTTCTTGGACGAGACATTTCACAGATAGTATACATTTCATGAATTGGACATTGCATAGATAGGACATTTCATATATGAAACATATGCATGGGCACTCTAAATTCCAAGGACGAGGTTTAGCAGTAGGTTTTCAAACTGAAGGGAAAGGAAAAGAGAAGATGAAAGTTGTTAGAAGAGATTGATAAGATAAATGTTTAAACTCTGTATATACTATCATATTTTAGAATCATAAAATTGAGTTTGCCTACCTTATCTACAGTTACCTGTCCCACACCGTATTAATCTGTTGATGAAAAATACTAATATTTAAACATTGTTTAAAAACACTTGCTACGCATTAGTAATAAATGAAGCCGGATGGGACTATGACTAATGGTTTCCTCTTTAATTGTTTTTTTTAATAATTAGGAAATAAATAATCTTTTATTATTTGCGGCATGAGATTTGTTTGTACTTTTTACTTTTTATAAAAACATAAATTAGATAACAAAGCACAACTGTTTGCAGTTGTTTTAACTTAATTTAATTTAATTATATAGTAAATATTATTGCGCAAGTTGACTTAATTGAATTTTAAAATAAATGTTAATACTAAATACTATTTATATCAAAATATTGATATAAGATTCTACTTTTTATAAAGTATAGTTCTGACTTTTACTTTTGAACAAATTCTAAAGCTAGAGTGTGATCGCCAACATAAAGTTTTTTTTTTAATTCTGTTTTGTTTTTTAATTTCCAATTTAGAGCTGTGCCTAATTTAATCTGGACATGTTTTAATTAACTGAATTGTAGGACGCATCGCGCCTCTTTTCATTGAACTAAATTAGCTTCTAATTGTTGCTAGCTAGCCCCCATTTTTTTAACTGTACTCAGCAATTAACAGATTTTACTGATTTTTCTGTTTGAATTGGCAGATGTTGACATTTTTACCAGACAAAGTTTTTCAATTTGAAATTCATAAACTTTCCATGGGATAGTAAGATTTTGGCCCAATCGATTTAACCATTTTGATATTTATTGGATAAAAATAGACAAGACAAAGTTATATCTTCTTGGGCCGATCTGGTGTCATAAACGATTCTAAACAGTGACATAAACGGTTCTAACAGCAACATAAACGATTCTAAAGAGTGTCATAAACGATTCAAACAGTGTCATAAACGATTCTAAACAGTGACATAAACGGTTCAAAACAGTATCATTAACGATTCTAAGCAGTGTCATAAACGATTCTAAGTAGTGACATAAACAATTCAAAACAGTGAGTCACGATTCTTATCAGTGACATAAACGATTCTAAGCAGTGACATAAACGATTCTAAACAGTGAAATAACCGATTTTAAACAGTGAAATAAACAATTCTAAACATTAACATAAACGATTCAAAACAGTGACATCAGCGATTCAAAATCGTGTTATAAACGATTCTAAACAGTGTCATACAGGATTCAAAATATTGTTTTAAACGATTCAAAATAGTGTTGTAAACGATTTAAAAAAGTAAAATAACAATTTTAAAAAGGGACATAAACGATTCAAAACAGTGATATAAACGATTCAAAACAGTGACATAAACGATTCAAAACAGTGACATAAACGATTCTAACAGCAACATAAACGATTCAAACAGTATCATAAACGATTCAAAACAGTGATATAAACGATTCAAAACAGTGACTTAAACGATTCTAAACAGTGTCATAAACGATTCTAAACAGTGACATAAAGAATTCTAAAACGTGTCATAAACGATTCTAAACAGTGTCATAAACGATTATAAACTGTTTTTATACACTGGGATATTCTGGTCCATTATCTTGCTTTTCTGTGACATACAAATTATTATTTTCAAAAAGAAAAATTATTTACTTTATATTTATTGTTCAGATTTACTAAAAATAAATAAATACGCTGATAGGCCCTGACCACAGGCCCTGACCACAGGCCCTGACCACAGGCCCTGACAGAAAAATATCTCTACATTAAAAGGTAATAAATCCATGAAACTATTTATCACTTTTTCTTTAATACATTTAAAAAAAGGTTTGAACTTCTTTCATAACTTTTAAATTCACTCAATTTGCTATTTTGTGTGAATCAAATCACTAATGCCAGCTAGAAAATAAATTGAGATGAGTATCAAAATATCCCTTCTTGAAACTCTAAGTTTAAAAATGTTAAATTAGTAAAAATTCCTTAAGCAAATTATAAGCAAAAACATGTTTTTCAGAAGGATATTTGTCAAAAGCATAAAAAACTAGTTTTTAATTCGTAAAAAAAAGTTTTATAAATTTGAATACAAGTTCTGAAAAGCCTTAAGTTTAATTTGAATTGCAAGGCATGCATTTAAATTTTTTTAGGAATAGTAAGGAGTAAGAATGGAAAACATCTAGAATGGGAGGTGGGGGAGGGGAACGTATAAAATATCTTTTTTTGTGAAAAATAGGTGAATTTTTCTATAAACATTGGTGTGTATGGTAGTGAGTAGATATTTTTCTTAAAAAAGTATACAAATTTTTTGAAAAAATCTTTAAAAAAATAAAATATTTAGCAAGAAATTCAACTTTAAAATTCTTTAAACTGCCTCTTTTTTTTTAAAGACTTACTTAAGCTTTTTGTCTAGGAAGTGACGGTAGTTTGAAATTGAAAAAAAAAATATGTTGAAATTAAGATTTTGTGAAGTCCATGGTAGTGGGGGAAAAAGGGAATTGGAAAAAATATAATTAAATTTATGTAAATATTAAATTTTTAATAGTCGGAGGTAGTGTGGGTAGTGGGGGCTTGAAAAAAAATTCTTTATTAAATGTTAAAATTAAATTTCTAAACAGTCAGTGGTATAGTGAGGGTAGTTTTTAACTTAAATAAAATTCTTGAATAAATGTTGATAAAAAGATTTCAACAAGCCGGTGGTAGTGAGGGAAGTGTGGAATTAATAAAAAAATTCTTGAATGAATTTTGATAAAAAAGTTTCAACAAGTCGGTATTAGTGAGGGTAGTTTGAAATAAAAAAAAATTCTTGAATAAAAGTTGATATATAGATTTTAAAAAGTCGGAGGTAGTGAGGGTAGTGAGGAATTGAAAAAAAATTCTTGAATAAAAATTAAGTATTTTAAAGTCGGTGGTAGTGAGGGTAGTTTTTAATTTTAAAAAAATTATTGAATAAATGTTAATAAAAAGATTTCAACAAGCCGGTGGTAGTGAGGGAAGTGTGGAATTAATAAAAAAAAATTCTTGAATAAATTTTGTTAAAAAAGTTTCAACAAGTCGGTGGTAGTGAGGGTAGTTTGAAATAAAGAAAAAATTCTTGAATAAATGTTGATAAAAAAGTTTCAACAAGTTGGTGGTAGTGAGGGTAGTTTGAAATAAAAAAAATTCTTAAATTAATGTTCATTTTTTATCAACATTTATTCAAGATTTTTTTTTCAATTCTCCACTACCCACATTACCTTCGACTTTTTAAAATCTTAATATCAGCATTTATTCAAATATTTTTTTTTTCAATTTCAAACTACCCCCACTACCACCGACTTGTTGAAATCTTTTTATCAACAATTATTCAAGACTTTTTTTCCAATTCCCCACTATCCTGACTACCACTGACTTTTTAAAATCTTAATATCAACATTTATTCAATCATTTATTTTTTCAATTCCCCACTACCCTCACTACCTCTAACTTTTTAAATTCTATATATCAACATTTTTTCAAGGATTTTTTTTAAAATTTCAACCTACATATCTTTATTTTTAAACTTGAAATTATTACTACTTTAACTACCTTATATTTATCTGGACATAAAACTATTGTGAAAAATAAGACATTTTATACATACAGGCACTGCTCTGACCGCAACAATCCTTCAGGCTGCAAACATATTATTTTCCTAAATTGTTAATTCTAAATATTTTCTTAACAAATTGCTAAATTATTTTTATCCGAATCCTGTAGTCGGTTAAAATGATTCATTTAATCCTATTTCTTCTGTGTCAACATCAAACCTAGGATGATCATTTTAGGTACCTTTACATGGCAAGTCATTTAATTAATGAGTTTTTGGGTTTTTTTTCTTGCCTGGTTCGTTAGATCCATAATCTGCCAGATTCTTAATTCAATATAAAACTAAAGCCTCCTACGAAAGTAGAACCTAACCATTTTAAAGCTAGGGCGAGATTAAAATGTAGGCGCTGCGTTAATGCCAACATTTGTTTTTGTTTAAATAATGAAAACGCCAACATTTTCCCAAAATTCACGACAACATTTTGTTTACGCCAACCCTCTCCCTTAAATTTGAGATTAAAGTTTGGATTGTAAATGAAGTGAGAGGTTGAGCGATTTTTATGTTTTTCTAATATTATCATTAACATTTAGTATAATGTTTGCTTCCCCCCTTTCCGCCCTTAATTGTTCTTACAACTCTGATGAGAGAGACGTACTATTCAATATATCCCCCCGCACTCTATCCTCCCTTAGTCCCTGGCTCTTGGCTCTGTCCTGTGTAGGCAGAGGTAGTATATTTCTCATTTTGTTCGCTAGGTGTCTCAGCATTGAGATTATAACAGCTAGATGATTAAGTGTTTCAGCGTTTTTGAACCAGAATATTAAAAGTTTAGGTTTTAAAATTTTTCAACGATCAATTATTTTAGTATACTCTATCAAACTTTATAACTATTTTCGTTTACACCCATTAAATAAGTGACACTGAGAATTAAATAAACCGGAGACTATATAAGAAATACCACAACGCAACGGTTCGTGTTGTACTGATTTACTGAGCCTGGTATATTATCGACTCTAACTCAATTATTTTCTGCGAACTCAGAGTAATATCTGAGTTGTTACTGATCAGTTTTTCATTACGAAATATTACCCTAGCTGTCGCCTCCTGATACGCAAAATGACCTCCAAGTCTCCGCCATTTTAAATCCATGCTCCGTATTTTGGATCTCCAATAAATCAACCACAAAAAAAATTTTAATTAAATAATCAGTGCGTACTCAGTGGTTTAAGACGCATCTTTTGATACCATATCAACATGTTATCAAAGAATAGAAAAAATCGACATTCCTAATTATCGCTGTTTTTAAAATTGTTAATTACTGAATCAGTTTTAATTTTTTATTTTGCTACTGTAATTTATTTTAATGGTGGAAAAAGGATTTGATATTTTCGATGAATAGTCCAAGAAAAACTAGAATTTTTTACTTATATAAAAATGAACAAAGCTTCTGGTTCAAAAATTGACTGGGCTAGACATATCAAGGCTTTATTTAAGGAGAGGTAAATATAAAGTACTTTGCAAAAATATAAAGTACTTTGCAAAAATATAAAGTACTTTGCAAAAATTTAAAGTACTTTGCAAAAAGCAAATAGATTCTAGTACAAAAGATGGCTACGAAGAATTTGTATACACTTTCAGAATTCTGACGTCATAAGTGTCAAGACAGTTTTTATGTCCGACAATATTATGTATAATTGTGATAGTTTTAGAAGAAAGTGCTAATTCTTACAGTAAAATAAGTGCAATTTTATGTGTTCTTTATTTTCTGTTTTTACACTTTTTTATTTAATCTTGGAAAACATGTCTTAACTATAAATGTGAGAAAATTTCGCTTTCCTATTTTTACACTTCTGACGTCATGTATAATTTCTCTGTTGCCACCTAGCTATTGTACATCCATAGTTTCATAGCTCGTTTATTACCTAAATTTTTATCTCTGGGAAAATTTAAAAACTTATTATTTTGATTTGTGCGATTTTGCAAAAGTAACTTCCACATTTCTTGCTTATAAAATGGAGAAATAAACACTTTTTGAGTCTGGTAACTTTAGTAACTTTCATATTTTTTATCTTTTTAAAGTTGTAAATCGGGCATTGCCATCTCTTGGATGGATGGTCACTTAAAAATACGCGTACATTTCCTTTAAAATTAATTTCATAGTTACACTGTTTTACTGCCAGATTTAAGGTTGCATACAGGGTAACCCGAAAAAAATGAGACTTCAGAGACGACTGTACGAAAATGATTTTCTCTTATTTCTTGTATTTAAAGTTCCCTGCAATTAATAGTTTTGCGCAAATTGACTCATAAAAATAATTTAAAACATGAGAGTAAATATTTATTTTTCCCGCGTTTTTTATCTCGCAAAATGTTGACATAAAACTCTAACTTTTATAAAGTTTATTTGATGCTATATCGTTTAAGCACTAATGTCCGATTGAACTAACGTACATTTGCACTTCAGCTAATCAGTAACCAGTTTTACGATCGAACATTAGTGCAAATGAACAAAAATCGGGTTTTTTGTGTTCAATTGGATTAAAATTGCATTTTCCCGCCAGGAATTTTATTTTCGCGCTTGGAATAATTTAGTACACATGTATAGTGCAATTGGTCTGAAATATTAAAAATATTTGTTCAAGGGTCTTGTATACTCTGCGATACATATTGAAACCAGTTCTCTTTGGGCGGAATTTGTAAACAAGAGTAGATGCATCTGCAGTGTTCGTTTAGTATCCGATTCCGAGGATGTTAAAGCATTAAATTTTGATAATTTTGATAATTCACTAAATAGTTTCCTATAACCAGAATATTTCATTGATTTTTTTATGTGAAAAATGGATCCCAAGCCTATAAACATGGGAATAATCCCATGTCAGGCTTTGACAACCGTCTTATGTTTACATTACCGCCCAGAGAGAGTACACTGCAGTACAAAAGATGTGTACACTTCTGAAATAACTTTCCTTGCATTACATCCTTGATAATAGCTAGCTTTCTTTTTCATTTGTCGTCTTAATAGACTCTTCCCGACCACTGTATGAACGCTTAAGGTTGAAATCGAAATATAAATATAAAGATATAAAAAGAGCATTTGTGTATAGGGGGGGGGGGGCACATTTTACACTGAAGGAAATAATGCATTAAAGCAATTTTTTAATGAAACTTTTTTAGTTAAGGGCAAAAGTGAGATTTTAAAATATTTTCTTCTATATGTTGTAATTATACTTTATAAGTATGGAATACATGCGTAATTTCAAGTTACCCTTCATTTATAGAGTGGAAGGTCCGATGTACCTTTGAAACCTTCATTTCTCCATCGTTTCTGAAGCAAGAAATGCACGAGTCACTTAATTAGAGAAGCCACAAATAAAAAATTCAGTTTTCAAAATGGGAAACATGGATTTGTATACAATTGATCAAACAAAGCTTTGAAGGGTAAATTGTTGTGAATCATAATATATATTTGAATTCTTTTCTTAATCTTTTAGTTTGGGTGAGTGTAATGTAATGCAAAATTGACTGAGGATGGTGTAATATTAAAAGACCCCCCATGATCGCCCCCCCCCCCTTAGAGGGGACACGCGTTGGGGGGGGGAGCCGGGGGGCTCGACCCCCCCCTCCTACGCCCCGGATAAAGGAAAAAATACCGTTATAAATCCGTGGGGGGATTCTATTTTTGTATCTGGCCTCTCATCTCACCTAAAAGTATTGATAACCGACCTAAAATTGATGCATATCCAGCTCCTAAAATTGTTACTTTATTCGAAATATTATAAAGCATGTATTCCTTTATTTAACTGACCTAAAATTGTTGCTTAACCTTGATAACCTAAATTCATTTGGCCGACCTAAATATATTTCAAATATGGTCAGTTAAGGACATTTTAGGTTAAAAAAACGTTAGGTTGGGAACTCAATAGGTTCGTTTCCTCTAGGTTCAATGAGCGGGTACCAATTGAGCAAAGGAAAGAATTTTTAAATGTCGTCTTTTTTGTCAATATTTTAGCCAGCGTGATCAGTTGTATTATATCTCGATTGATTGATTGATTGATAAACGTTTATTTCTATACGCACTATAGGCAGGCGTCTTAAATGTTGACAAAATTACAGAAAAGAGAAAAAAAATCACAAAAGAAAACAGAGTACAAAGTACAATAATAAAAAAAACAAAAAAAAACACTATATCACAGATTGTTGTTGGGGTTTGCGTTGGTCTATTGCGTAGAACTGCGTACCATCCCGTATTATATCTCTTCCTGTGTTACGTTATACAGTCTTCAAATCACCCAATGTATTTATATTTATAGATGCTAGATCAGTCAACATAAATTGCTAACATGAGGAATTGTAATTGGTATATTCCTAGTATACGATTTTTGGACCGGATGGGCATTTTTTGTAGGTCAGCCCAGACATGTGGCCGCAGCGCTCGGCCGGCCCCCCCTAGCCTGTCCTATAGCCGCAGCGCTCGGCTCCTAGCTGCTCGTATAGCTTGCAGTGGTCGGCCCAGAAAGGTCTTAACTTAATTAACACCCTAAAAATATGACAAACATGAATAAAGTTGGTTTTGTGGCCGCAGTGCCAGGCCCCCTAGCCTGTAGCTGTCCTATAGCCGCAGCGCTCGGCTCCTAGCTGCTCGTATAGCTTGCAGTGGTCGGCCCAGAAAGGTCTTAACTTAATTAACACCCTAAAAATATATTAATTTTGTTAAAAATTGTTGAAATCGAAGGTATATCCTGGCCGCGACGCATAACCCCCTAGCAGCTGTCCTAGCCCTGCAGCGCTCGAGGCCCAGAAATTGTCCTATAACCTAACCTAACTCTAAAATAATACCAAATAAATATTTTTTTTGTTGAAAATAGTTGAAATCTAGGTCATGTACATAATTGATATATAGGGGGGGGGGGGTCCAAAAATTGTATTCTAGGACGAACAGTTAGATTTGCGCCTTTTTCTGGAATATTCATAATATTAAAACATTTTTATGAATACAGTTGTCGTCGTATAGGTATATATCGAATATATCGATATATCAATTTACACAATATGAAGGCTTGACTGTACGATTTAATTTTGATTTATACTGCAAAATTTCAAACTGCAGAGACATTTACAGGGCTGTTTCCTCAAAGAATGAGACTTCTGCAGAGACGAATTTACAGAATTTACAATGTCTATTTTCTTAATTAAACAATTGGGATAACTATATTTAATTGTCGTTTTTTTATCTCATCCTTTGTGGGTAACCCAGTATAAACGGGTCTGTCCTAGTGAACGATTTTTTGGTCTTCATGACGATCATGACCTATAAGTGAGGTCAAAGGCCTATACGGGGGGAGGCGGTGTGGAAACATCATAATTGTAATAATTTAAAAAACGAAATCTTAGAATTTAACATTTTTATCAAAATAATGTTATTTTGACCTTTTTTCAGTATTTTGTCATATGAATTTTAGTTTTATATTTTCAGATATGTATGTGGAGACTATGGAGGAAGACCTAAAGATTGCGAATATGAAAGAAGAGATCATTTCCATCAAGGAAGAAATCCTTCAATCCTTTACTGTAGAAAGTACACCAGTTGCACAGAAACAAGATGTACAGAATGAAAATGTACATAGAGTAAATGTACAGGAAATAAATGTACATGGAGAAAACGTACAGCAAGAAAATGTACAGTTAGAAAATGCCAATGTCAGCAAGCTTCAAAACAACTTCAAGGAATTTATCTTTAAGAACCGCAATCAGAAAGAAAATATACACAAAGAAAATGTACAGCAGGAGAATGTACTGCAGGGGAATGTACGACAGGAGAATGTACGGCAGGGGAATGTACGACAGGAGAATGTACTGCAGGAGAACGTACTGCAGGGGAATATACGGCAGAAAGATGTCCAAACAGCGGATACAGTGGCTATAGGTGAGAAATGCCGTATCAAAATTATTTTGTTAACATCATAGTTTTCACTTTCCCAAGAGGGGCTGGGGGGGGGAAATTGATGCATATCCAGCTCCTAAAATTGTT